AAATCCGACTATCAGGACTATTTCACGCACGATTATTCACGTCATCTTACTGTCCCAATCCGATGCAGTTGAACCAGTAACCTCGGTGTCGTCGATTCTCCCCTCCTGACCGCTCCTCCCTCACATCACCGGTCGAGTCCAATTCCGCTGCAGCTAGGAGATTCATTTTGATATTCTCCGTCACTTCATATCTAAACAATGGACAAGGTATACATCCCTAGACCTCAACATGTTGATATCATACACCGTCAACCGATGCCATAGAGGCGCGAACAAAAATCAGAACCTTATATCGCCTATTCCAAGAAAAAGGAGACAATATCCACTTCTATAATCGTTTCTTCAGAGGTACAAAACTATAATCAGAGGAACTTCAGAGGATAAATTTTCCGAAAAATCCCATTTAAAGTCGGAATAGACTCCTCCTTCCTCCACGTGTGTTGTATCCATAAACGCCACCACCGCCTGCTGCTGCTGCGGCTGCCCACTAACCTGAGTGGCTTATCATCTCGAGCGTAGTGCATCGGGTCCCGCTCCAAAACCGCCAAGACGTGTTGAGCTGCTACTCCTCGACCATCACGACTCACTACATCTCCAGAATTAACTCTAATCTGATCAACAACAACAACAAAATCCCTTTTAGTATAATGGATAAAATGGCCAGCTTCCAATCGCACATCCCAGGTTCGATTCTATCCATGCCCACTCTCAATCAATTCCAACTAATATTAACAAACGTAAACTCCCACCACCATCCACACTATCAACCATTACCAGCTCTACCGGACAGCTCTAACGCATGCGTGTATCACAAACTCTGTCCCCAATCACAACAGCAGCAATGACTATTACCTGCATATGCAGTGTTGAGTACTGTGTTCTGACAGGATAATGGAAACCCATACTTAGCTTCGCTCCGCTAACAAATTCATCCCCAAGAAGGGACATCAAAAAGTGATGGCACTCATCCAGCATATGATGTAACATTTCCACATGCTTGATAGAATCCAGATCTCGATACGTGTGCAGATACCTGCCATCCATTCGAATCACCCCAACAGGTAAGTCCAATCGGAAAAGAGTTATTCATTCACTTTGAAAAAGCTTGTCTGAATTGTCAATTAAAACCTCTTCCCAAGCTCTCTCTTCTTATAATATCACTCAGCAAAGCCTCCGAGCTCGTACGCACTACATCAGTTGTTGATAGTACTCAGACACTACTACTAATGTTAACAGCGTGGGGGGAATACATGCACATGGTCAACTGCATGTGTTGGTGACAAAATTAAAATTCTGAGGAAATTTCGGGAAATTACCATAATTTTTTGTGTATTTCTACCCGCCTAAATCGTCTGTGGAGAAGTTCACGAGCTCAGTAGTTGAGGAAAGCACTCCTCCACCACCAAATCACTACCCTCCTCCTCCTTCTCCTTCGCTCGACTTGGGAACATCACTGAACCGGAAATCTCCGGGAGACCCAATCGGCGTGTGAAGGTCTTCTACTGTACTAACTTGAACGCCGCCGCCGCCGCCAAACTAAGACAAAAATTACATGAAAACTCCCCCCACCAGGAATCGAACCTCGTAACCTCCCGAATGATAAGGATAATGATGATGACGTGTCGAATCACATCCCCTCGTATCTACAGAAACAAAACAGCATTACCGCACCGCAGCATGAAATTACAACAAGCATCGGAGGACAGTAGTGAATGGGGTTTCACCCTAGTGATATGAAAAACTCTACTGAAAAACCTTGCTTCACATTTCGCAAAAAACGTGTGCGAGCAGTGAATAACGCGTAAAACACGCATTATCAATATTACACGTAATATGTGATACATGAAAAGTAGAATTCCAATAAAACTACAAACGAGTCACTTTCCCTGCAATAACAGCCGCAACATATACTTTTAAGTAGACCCGTCTCGCGAGCTCACGAAAGCAACACCAACAATTGATCAATTTCGTTGATCACCCTCAACGAAGATTAGAGGTTTATCATGTTTATTTTTGTTTTGTTGTTTTTTATAAAACTTCAAATTTATAGACCCAGCAGATACTACTATTACCCCCCTCCTCCTCCTCCTTTCCACTGACAACTTGATTAACCCACTCCTCAACAAAATGCCACAACTCCTCGGGGATCCACCACACCACAAAACGGAATGATGCCGATTCAAAACCTAACAACAACAACAAAATATGGATAACACTTCATATAACTGTCATATATGTTTATATGCCATACCGAAGTGGGAAAATATGCATGTAGTCAACTACATATATAAGCGACTTACTAATAAATAATATATATACGGTTACCTTGTAGTATAATATGATTATTTGTATATATGTAAATAAACTAATAAAAGATATAATATATAAAAGGGTGATTTTAGTCTATCTATACTTATAATATAATAACAAGTTTAAATCTATGATGATGTCATTGCTATTGCGGAAATTTCGAGGATGAAAATTGCGCAAATTCTCAATGGTTTCTTCACACTTCTACCCGAATTCGTATGTAAACTTCCAGTGAGGAGACTTTAGGACATACTAACTTCATCGTCGTATGTATCAAACTCAATAGTAACTTTTTCCCAACATCTTCCGAAATCATCAAGAGAATTCACTTCCCCAGTGATGGACACCACACCTTCGAAACGGAGGTCGACATATTTGTGATCGCTCCGAGTTCGATTTTATTTTACAATTATCATTTGTTTTTGTCAATACATTTTGGTGGTATGAGCATACCCATATTTCCTCAGCAATATTCATCAACTCCACTATTCAGAACGGTGTGCCGATAAACCAACTTATGTAGTTTCACAGGAGAGCTCGAATATCGAACGATCACACGGAGAATCACCAACTAGAAATATATGCTCGCATCGCTTCGCCAATTCAACTTCACCTCAGATGAATGATCAACCCTTACTCATTCCCACACCTTTAAATTTTTACGGAAAAATTTTTCCACGAAAATTAAAAAAAATATTACCATGTCCACTCCGCAAATCCCTAGCGATTGTCGCGACAACCGACGGCTCCTCATGGAACTTCGGATTTGGTATCAAAATGAAGCCTCCACTGTGGAGGTGTGGCGCACGAATGAGGCGACCCACCCCTTCCTCGATGCTACTACGAGCATATCTGAACTCTCCGTGAATGAAAATCTAATATTATAATCATTACGTAGATGTTCCCATCACCAAACCCATCACCACATTCGATATAGGATGCCTCTGATAAAACGGTTTTAACACTAATTGGTGAAACATCGGCGCTTGATAAACATGGTATCTGAGTATCGGAATTAATTACGCACGATTATACACTCCAACCACAAATTCTCCACATAAAACAACTACACATGGCAAATCGATCCCTTTTTCCAAGTCTTTTGTAAAATATCAAGAACTCCACTCCTACTACACAAACCACTTTGTTTGCTCTCCCTGATTCTTATACGATATTGCGATCCTACTCGCAGACCTTCTCAGCAAGAACCACCACGACGAAAATGATAATAAAATTTCCATAATTTTCCCAAAATCCACCAAA